CCCTAACCCTAACCCTAACCCTAACCCTAACCCTAACCCTAACCCTAACCCTAACCCTAACCCTAACCCTAACCCTAACCCTAACCCTAACCCTAACCCTAACCCTAACCCTAACCCTAACCCTAACCCTAACCCTAACCCTAGACTACGGCTAATTTTCGCCTCTCTCCAGTACGTCTTCGTCTATTATCGACCTACGCGTAATAAGTCTAGAGTCTCGAAATTCGACTTAGATAGACTACTCGGTATACTAAATAAACTACAATATATAAAAATGATAATTATGTATAGCGTAGTGATAATATAGCGGGAATTCGACCTCGCCACCTAATCTGAAAGTAATGGGGGATAACTAAGAATTTTAATTGGTAGACGCACTACCCGTAGATAGATAACTCGACCCCCTTATGCCAAGACCCATTTTGTATATGGACGGGTCACCCGTCCAGACCGGAATACGGTTAGGACTATATAAGTTTATATATTAGACTTATTTACTATTAAAGTAGATATTCTTAAAAAATAGACTCTAAACTCTAGATCTATTAAAAAAACTTAAGATTTTTACGATAGATACTAAGAGATATTCAACTTTCTATTCTCTTAGTATCTATTATATAAAAAATCTTAGTATCCTTCGATAAGTACTATTGAGTAGAATAGTAGGATAGTAGAATATATTTAGTCTTTAATATATTTCTCTTAAGTATTTTTATATTTTATATTAATATAGAAGTTTATCTATTTATATAAAATTAATCTAAATAATACTAGATATTCTTATATATATATAATATAAAGAGAAGTATAAAGTTATTATATATTATAGAAAAGTATATTAATATAAAATATATATATTATATTAACTATAATCTCTAAAATATCTATATTCTATTAAATTTATAATATAATAATTATAACTTAAAAAACTATAAATTTAATAATATTAGAAAGTATTTATAGAGATAAGTTTAATAATATAATTATTATTCTAGAAATTAATTAGAAATACTAAATATTTTATAGTATTATTTTTAAATATTCTATAGTTAATATAGATCTTTAAATCTCTACCTAATTAGACCTTTTAAATATTTTACTATATAATATTTATGATATTACTAATAGAGAGGTAGGACCTATGGTGTTTCTCTATACTATTATCCTTGAAAGTTAGGTCGGAGGTGTAGGTGAGGTTGAGTAAGTGTGGGGTCTTATAATATAGTTGGAGGAGTATTTTGTCCCTTCTGCGAATCGTGGGGAAACCAGATCGGGAAATTTCCGAAGTAATACCTCGGCTAACTTACCAGTTCTAAGAATTGATTGAATTTGGTTCTGGGCTTGTGATACAAAGCCTCTTCACAGAACCCCCCGTCAACTCTATTGAGAATACTCCGAAGTGTCTTCAGCCATACAATGTCCGGTATTCTTGCCCATGCCGAGAGGGTGGCAGCATCAAAAACCGCGGCTCGTACACCACAAGTCTAGGCCAGCGCCGCCTGCACGATAACGCTCGGTGGCTGCGGCACCACTTCAAAGCTTGGGGTACGCCCACCCTTGAAGACCTTGTAGATGTGAGGGGCAATCGCTTGTCTCATTTCGGCACAGGCTGTCGTCAGCCCTCGAGTACAATGTGACATCCAGCTGGACTGGGTATGAGCGCGGGGTCTCACACCGTACTTACTTTTCTAGAGTCGCTACATTCCGACTCTCTACAACTATGGCCCACTGTGCTCTCCTGCCCACCTTGAGTTCAACCGCCTACAAAATTCCACCCATCCTCAGTTCACACAATCCGTCTGTCCGAGCCTGATTGAGCTTGGTCAAGCTTGTCTGAGCCACTGCAGCGAGCCATCGCTCTTTTGAGGATAAGTGCCAGCCCTACAAGAGGCCGGACTACTTTTCTCCCAATCATGGCTTTGGGGTCCGCTTGCCTAATCTACCAACACGAGAAATCCAAAGCATCTTGTGCAGCCAGCAACTAATATTCTGCCCTCCACGCGGGGTCGGAGGACGAAGAGTTTGCACGCTTACGATGTCTTTATCTTTAAATCGTGGATGGTCGTTGCAGGTGTGTCGGTCACTTTCGTCGCCAGCCTAACACCCCTTCCATGCACTGAACGGCTTCCATCCTTCATGAATCTATATTTGCTCTTGTTCCTGCTTCTCCTTCATCCGGACTCGGCGGTATCATATTGGCAGTATGAGTCGCTGAATGTCACCCAGTGGCAGTGGCAGTCTTGTACCGCTTGATCATCCCACTCACTCTGGTCTGCGCACTGACCTGCTCTGCAGCGGTTACAACCGACAATTGGCTGTATATCGATGGCGGTGAGCTGTATGCCATCCAAAATGGCAATCCGACCTTCTTTTACCGTGAGCATGATCTTGTCCTTTTATGAAACATCTATCCCCCCTAGTAGCCCTTTCATACGTTGTGTGTCGACCATGTCTAACCGAATTGACGTGATGACAGTGGGACAAACCATCTCTATCGATCTGACTCAAGCCTGGACCAACGCAACGGTTCAGAACTATGCAAAAGAAACACAACGCCCTGTCACCGATGGTCACTGGTCCAAAAAGCCCGCTCTCTTCTACAATCCCTCCAGTAACGTAATCGTTCAGTGGGGAGGTTGGCCTTATAACAATGGCGATCAGTCCTACGAGTTTGTCTTTACGCCAAATGCCAACGGTACCGTGAATTGGATACAGTCGACAACGCCAGTGACCAACAGCCAGAATCAAACATCGCCTGCCGTCTTCGGATCAGCATTTGTGTCTTCCAACTTAGCATTGTACTCGCTAGGAGGTGTCATGGCTGAACCGTCTGCGCCGCCCGACCTCGCCGTTCCGGGCCTGCTCGAGTACAACTTCGCAGGCAACAACTGGACAAACACATCGTCCCTGAATGCATCTACCAATGGCTATCTGGTCGGCGCTCAGGCAGCCTACACTCCTGGTACTGATGAAGGCGGGTTCGGCTCTGCGGGATATCTGGTCTTCATTGGAGGTAGCGACCCAGCCACCCAATATCTCGACCCTCAGTCTCCCTCGCTCGTCGACATGTCAAATATCACTTTGTATGACCTCGGCGGACAGACTTGGTACCACCAGACCACGACCGGCACAATTCCTCCACCGCGCCAATTCTTCTGCTCCGTATCAGCGACGTCCATCCAGGCAACATTTGAAATGTGAGTCTCTGTCTACATTTTCTACTCAATGTACTCATCGGATTCTCTCCTGCGCAGCTTCATCCTCGGAGGATCCACGAACGATACATATGACCAGGCACACACGAACGATACCGATTACCTCAATGTATACACGCTTTCGATCCCTGCCTTTCGCTGGTTCAAATCCAGTGCTAGTGACCAAGTCAGACGCGCCGACCACTCGTGTCAGCTAATCGGCAACAAACAGATGCTCGTCATTGGAGGAATTCAGCCTGGCAATCCTCTGGGAATCGCGGCGATAGATCCCTGGCCCAACGGGCTGGGAATCTTTGACATGTCGAATTTCACCTGGGCACACGGCTACGATCCACATGCACCACCTTACGAGCAGCCAGAGGTGGTGAGGGACTACTATAGTACCCAGTACCAGTCGCCTATCTGGGGCGCACCTCAGCTCGAGGCCGATTTTGGTAGGTTGCGAGTTTCCCATTGCTGCACGCGCATTCCATTGAGACTTGTTGCATACTGCGAAGAGATGTGCTAAGGGAAAGTGTACAGCTTGGGCGCCACCAGATCTTCCTACGTAAGTCATGCAGCAGACTGAGAATCGCAGTCAAAAAGGCCTCTTGGCCGACTTCTATTTCTGTCCTGCATGACCAGAAATCGAGTGCTGACTGTCGCATAGTGGTACCTACACCGGCTCATATTCCTCGGCCACAAGCACCAGCGCAACTTCGAGCAAGGTTACATCAACCACGACCGCAACTGCCAATCCTTCTGCGAAGTCGTCTTCCAGTTCGAGCCACACAGGGGCGATCGTCGGCGGTGTCGTCGGCGCAGTATGTGCTGTGCTGTTGGTGTTGATCCTGGTGGTTCTGCTTCGACGGCACAAGTCCGCGAACACGCAGGGTGAGAAGGACCGGAAGGCCCAGCAAGATACACCCGATGTCACTAGCGTCGTGCCTCCCAAATCGGAAATGGAGGCGCCTCTGCCCTCACCAGGGTTTGGAATGCTGCCGTCCTACTCGGATAGGCGCGAGAGCGATGTTTTGCCCGAGTTGAGCAATCCTGGGGCACAGGAGCTTGAAGCCAATAGTGTCCGCTGGAGTCACACGCCTGAGATGCCAGCCCGGTGACAGTTGGGTCAGCTCAAGTTCCGGTACACGAGGAGCGTCCTCAAGACTGCCTAAAAATGTTTCTCAGAAGAGAGTCATCACCATCTCCAGACTGGTTGGCTTCATGGTGCATTCAACGATAGCGGCTCAAACGTACCGTCTCTTGCCACAGTTGCCGATAGCCGTAGAGTGATAAGTCAATATCATCATGTTCAGAGTTGCCTTGGCCTCGTGTAATGCCACATACATGCCGGCCTGATAAAGATCTCGAATATTTGATCGCCTGTGTTTGTTTTTCGGCCGTCCGCGTGGAGATTACCTTGCTAGAGGTGTTTCCCTGCGTTGCATAGGAGTGTCGTTACTGGCTTTTTTTTTTTTGGCGCAGACGGTGGCACGCTGTTCGTGAACATTGCGAGAGGAGCTTCCGGACTGGCGGTTTCCTCGCTGTAGTCTTGGTCTTCGTCTTCTTCGCTGGTTTGTGAAGGGGGCGATCCTTTTATAACTCTCAAGCCCTGGCCATTGGAACCTCGCGGTAAACGACTAGGCTCTGAGCTCATTGAGAAGTAAACTTAATAGTTTATATATAATATTTCTTATTAATATTAATACTAATAGTATAATAATAGAATAGAATAATAAAATAAGTATTTTAATTAATATTATAACTAAGATTAAGAATAGTATTAATAGATTAAAGTTTAGTTATTCTAATAAAATATAAAAAAAAAGAGATAATAGAGAATAAATTTAAAACTATAATTATAAATAGATATATTATAGATATACTTTATTTTATTAGTATTTTTATAAATAACCTAGAGTTTTAGAAAATAAATTATAGTTATCTAATTAAGTAATAAAGTAAAAGTAAAAGATAATAATAATATTAGAGATCTTAAGAAATAAAGAAGAATAAAGAAATTTATAGAGAAAAAAAGAAGAAGAAAAGATTAGAAAGAAAAAAAGAAAGTCTTAAATAGTTAAGAAAGTTAGTAAAGAATAAAGAGTTAAGAGTAAAAATTTTCTAGTAAAGAGTAAAGAATAAGATAAATTAAAAATAAAGAGAAAATAAGGATAAATTAAAAGTTATACTTATATTATACTTTATTATTAAATTATATATAAGTTATTTATAAAAATAAAGTTATTTATATTTAGTTAATTATAAATATATATAGTTCTCTATTATAATATCTCTATAATAGTTATAAAGTACTTAATATACTATCTTAATATCTCTTTAGGAATTATAAAACGCTTAATTCTTTATCTCTATAATAATTATTATTATTTTATTCTCTACTATAAGATCTCTTAATATTTAATTATTTATTTACTATTTCTAATAGTAAAGTCTAGTAATAATAGTTTTTATCGGTAAATATCTATTTAGTTACTTATTATCTTAGATTTCTTTATATTAAAAGATTATATAGATAAATCTAGATATATTTATATATAGTAAAGTTTCTCCTAACTTAATAATTAACTTATATTATTTTATATAATAAAACTTTACTTAAATAGACTTTATTATTAGATCTTTCTAAGATTAATAGTATAAGTATTAAAATCATTTTATTTCCTACTAGAGTAATAGTATACTTATAGAGTAATAATATATTATATATAGAGAGTAATAGTATACTTATAGAGTAATAGTATATTATATATA